TATGGCTTCACTGCTGAATTCTCCAAGGTATTTAGAGAAGGACTAGTATCACTACTCTTTAAACTTTTCAATGAAATTGAAAAGGAAGCAATACTTCCAAATTCATTCCTGGAAGCAAGTGTTACTTTTTGTTTCCAAAGCCAGGGAAAGACCCAACCAAAAAAGAGGACTACAGGCCAACTTCCCTAATAAACATAGATACAAAAATCCTCAAGAAGATACCGGCCAACAGAATATAGAGGGTCATCAAGAAGATCATACTATACCCTGACTAAGTCAGACTTATCCCAGGGATGCAACAATGGTTCAACATATGTAAATCAATAAATATAATACACTATGTTAACAGAGTCAAGGACAAAAACCACCATATGATCACCTCAATAGATGCAGAAAAAGCATTCAACAAAATTCAACACCCATTCATGATAAAAAAAAAAACTGCAGAAAATTGGAATAGATGGTCTTTATCTCAATTTGATAAAAGCTATCTATGAAAAAACAACAGTAAAATCAGAAACAATACAAGGATGTCTGCTGTCACCATTTCTATTCAATATAGTTTTGGAAACAGCCAGAGGAACTAAACAAGAGAAAGAAATTAAAAAGTAAAGATAGGAAAGGAAGAAGTTAAACTGTCATTATTTGCTGACTCTATGATAAAGACCCCAGAAACTCCACCAAAAGACTTCTAGACTTGACAGATTCAGTAAAGTAGCTGGATACAAGGTAAACACTCAAAAATCAATAGCTTTCTTGTACACAAATAACAGACTCACTGAGAGTGAAATTAGGAGAGCAATCCCTTTCACATAGCATCCAAAAAAATGAAATATCTAGGAATCACTCTAACAAATGAAACAAAAGGCCTCCACACTGAGAACTACAACATTCTGAAAAAAGAGATTGAAGAGGATATAAGACAATGGAAAGACATCCCTTGTTCCTGGGTAGGAAGAATCAATATAGTGAAAATGGCCATACTTCCAAAACTGCTATATAGATTCAATTATTGAACCCTATGGAAATCCCAACAATATATTTGACAGAACTAGAAAAAACAATCCAAAAATTCCTTTGGAATCAGAAGAGACATAGAATAGCAAAAACAATTCTAGGCAACAGAGACATGGCAGCGGGTATCACAATCCCCAACTTGAAACTATATACAAAGCCACAGTGATAAAAACAGAATGAAATAGACCTGTGGATCAGTGGAACAGATTCGAAGATGCAGAAATGACTCCTGACATACTCAGCTACCCCATCTTTGACAAAGGAGCCAAACATCCTCACTGGAGGAAAGGTAGCTTCTTTAATAAATGGTGTTGGAAAAACTGTATTTCAACTTCTCTGGTTAAAACTAGACTCATATCTTTAACCATGCACGAAACTAAAATCCAAGTGGATTAAAGATATAAATATTAAACAGAAACACTAAACTTTCTGGAAGATAAATTAGGTAGAACTCTTGAAGATATCAGCGTAGGAAAAGACTTTATGAACAAATCCTCAGTAGCTTGGGAACTAGCACAAAGAATCAGCAACTGGGACTTATCTTTTTAAAAAGTTTCTGCACTGCCAGAGAAATCTCAAGCAGAGCTAAGGGACAACCCACAATGTGGGAAAAAAATTTACCAGCTGTTCCTCAAATAAAGGCCTACTATATAGAATATATAAAGAACTCAAAAAAATCAGACCCTCCCCCAAACATAAATACCCAATTCAAAAATAGACATCTCGAACAAACAGACATTTCTCAAAGAAGTAAAAGTAGCAAATAAACATATGAAAAAATGTTCAACGTCACTGATCATTCAAGAGATGCAGATGAAAACAACACTGTGATTCTACCTCACACCAGAAAGAATGGCTGCTATCAAGAAATCAACCAGATGCTACCACATGTGTTTCTCATGGGCCAACATGCCCCCTCCTGATGAGCACCATGGTAGAGGAAGTCACCCAGGGGCCGGTGGCTGGTTTTAAACTTGTATTGACTGTTGATACTTATTTACTGTATAAATATAATTTATCATTTGTACCATGACAAAAAAGAAGTCAACCAATAACAAATGCTGGTGAGGTTGTTGGGAGATAGAAACTCTTCTTCATTGTTGCTGGGAGTGCAAACTGGTGTAATCACTGTGGAAAATCAATGTGGAGATACCTCAAACAACTGCGATTAGAGCTCCCATTTGACCCAGCTATTCCTCTGCTGGGTATCTTCCAAAAGAATTGTAAGAATCATACCATAGTGATATATGTTCACCCATGTTTATAGTGGCACAGTTTGTAATGGCTAAAACTTGGAAACGGCCCAATTGCTCATCAACTGAAGGCTGGATAAAAATGATGACTTTTTTTAGAAAATGGAATACTACTCAGCCATAAAGAATGAGAAACTAGAGATATTTATAGCTAAGTGGATGCACATTGAGGCCATACTCTTAAGTGAAATTAATAAGTCACACATGTGTAAATACTGAATAGTTTCTCTGGTATGAAAAACTAAGTGTAAATAAGGATCAAAATGTATAATTGATCTTGTGTAATAGCAATAAAGGTCTAAAATAGTAGAGGAAGTGGGAGGGGGAGGGAAAAGAAAAAATATGTGAGAAGGAAAGACATGGAAACAATGTCTTTATAAACAGGGCAAGGTGGAGGGGATGAAGGGAGGGCAGGGGAATGGGAAAAAAATAAGAACCAAGATCTGTCATGTAAAGGTACAAGATCCCAATGATGAATATAACTGTACTGTATATCTAAAATGTATCAGTAAACTCAATAAAGAGAAAAAAGTTTAGAATACTGTGCTCAAGTTTTAGAAATTGTGAAAGGCTGGAAAGATAGAGACAATGAAACATCAGCACAGAGGATGGGAGAGAAACTAAACAATGTGCTGCCTAGCTGGTCTAGAATCTTCAGGAAAGATATTCTACATCTGTGAATTTTCCAGATAATTGTCACTTAGCCCTTTAAGCATCAAAAATCTTCTCAAAGAATTTTTAGCTAGTTGAAATGAAATCTTTCTCAAATGGATTACTCGCTGCCTTGCTTTTCTAAATGGAGAACTCTAAATGTAAAATGTAACATTTTCTTGATGACTCAGGTTCACTCACCATTGTGAAAATCAAATATTATCCTCTCCCTAGGCTTGTAGGGCTGATTAGATCAGAGGCACCCATTGGTGTACTTTTCTCAGCATCTTGACACACACTGTAAGAGTCAGTGTTTATTTGTAGTTCCCTCTGCCCCAACTGTGAATGCTGCTCTTGTCACTCTCAGCTCTTTTCTGAGGGTGCCTTTATCCACAGACCCTCTACCTCATTTCATTGTGTTGCCTATGGTTTTCCAACAACAGCTGGTAGAACTGTAGGAAAATGGGAATGAGTTCATTCTGACTGTGGGCTTTCTTTAAAATGGGTGTCTTATAATATCATTGGTGTTATCGCTTGTGTTTAGATGACCCCCAAAGCTTCGTGCTTTTTCAGAGATGGCTGAATCTAGAGTGCGTGATTGATTCCTGGTGGGGTTATACATGAAGGCATTATGATTAAGGGCATAAGTGCTACCTGCCTAAGTAGTCTGAATAAGATAAAAGGAGCAGAAAGACACTGTTAAGGTCCCTTACTGCTTCTGCTACTTTGTGTCTGCCATGTTGTTTCTCCTCTGTGTTGTCTGTTTGTCATCTCTGCCTTGAAGCAGCAGAGTATGAACTGAAACCTCTACAAACTGTGAGCTAAATAAACCTCTTTTCCTTTAAAAAAAAAAAAAAGAGAAAAAAAGAACTGTAGAGAAAGAACACCAGAGTCCCAACGAGGTCCCTTCTGGCAAAGAAGGAGGGTGGGCTCTGTGCTCCTCTAGGAATCCACTGGAGCCTCATCCACATTGTTCCTGTTTGTGTAAAACAGAGGAGTTGGTGACATGGCTATTTGTTATGTTGTATTTCTTTGTATTCTTTTAGTACCTCATATATCATATAATGATTTTTAATCCAGTCTGATCTAAGTCAAAATTTCAACCTCTCAGTTTGTAGTGTCTCACTATTCCCACATTGCACAGCCCAGCCAGGCTCAGGAACTTACAATGCAATAGGAGTCTCTGAAGATAAGGACAGAGGAGGGGAGGCAAGGAAGGAAAGAGGGAAAAGAGTGAAGGGAGCAAAGGTCCCTACTCTGCTGGAGCAATTATGCTCTGCCGTTGCTGTCCTCAGAAGCTGATGTGAGTGGTTTTGGTGTCTCCTAATTTCTCCCTGTAACTGTCCCCCTACCTTGTCCTACAGGGGCTTCCCACGATACGATTATCTGCCAGTACACCCTTCGGACAACCACTCAGTCCCCACTCCTCAGTCCCTAGTTCTAGAAGTCCTTCCTCCCAGTCTCTTTCTGGTAGGGTCATCTCTCTTGGCAGGTGGGCTTTTCAATGAAGTGCAGGGCCATCCATCTTCCAGGGTCCCCTCCAAACTCACAGGATCCACCAGCACATTGCCCTGTCAACTCTGCAAATGCAGGACATGTCAAGCAGGCAGTGCCACCACTGAGCTAAGTCCCCGGCCCCCAAGCCTCTTTTCTTGAGGTGAGAGTCACACACCGGGACAAGGGTCACTGTCTTCATAGAGTTCCCTTGAAGCCTGGGTGCTTGGGCAACCGTCCACCTTCTCACATGAGCCTTTCCAGTTTTCTCCAAGGAAGTTTTCCTTACCTGCCTACACGGATTCCTTTCCTCAGTGTGGGCCGAAGGAGGATGAGAGAGCAGGGAAGGCTGAGCTGTTTTAGGACACACCCATGTCGATGTGACACCTCACTTTAGAAAGAGGAGTACAGTGTTACCTGTTGATATCAGCAGTTTTAAAATAGGGAAAGTCCCGTTTAACATCCTACTATGCAAATAATACTTTGAGACAAGGTTTCCCTAAATGGGCTGGTGGCTTAATGTTAAAGCTTGATTCAATAAAAAGCAGTTCGCTCATCTAAAATAATGTCATGTACTTGCAACAGGTCTAGAAAAGTTCTAAAGATGTGGCAGTTCATGGAGCAGTCTGACATCGAGACCATGAGAAGCCTAAAGGATGCTATGGCTCAGCACGAGTCTTCCTTGGAGTACCAGAAGGTGGTGACACGGGCCCTGCACATCCCTGGCTGCAGGGTGGTTCCGTTCTGTGGGGTGTTTCTAAAGGAGCTCTGTGAAGTGCTGGATGGAGCCTCGGGCCTCATGAAGCTTTGCCCACAGTATAATTCCCAAGAGGAGACCTTAGAGGTGAGGCCTTTCCTAATCACCAGGTTCCGAGGAGCCATTGTTTCCACTGTCTTATCAGGCCCCGTCAGTACTCATGAACAAGATAAGAGATCTCTTACTGAGCCTAGGGTGGTCCTTGTGATGTTGTTTCTGGGCAGCAAGTAGGTTCTTACAAGTTCTGAAGAAATGTGCCAACTGCTGCTGTTTGGGCTCATCCGTGTTATGTTAGGTTCAATGTGATAGTGTATAAATACAAATGGAAGGGATGTTGTTTTCTTTTTATTTTAAAGGTTCACAGTTTTTACTCCTACTGGGTATGCCTAGATGCAAAGGAATAAAGTCAACTGAAAATATTAACTTTCTCAAATCAATGGCAGAAATAATGGGGGAAGGGCGGGGTCAACACTGCCTTCTTCTCCTGCTTTCAGAAAGACGCTGAGGAAACCTGTGCCTTGTCTGAAACTATGCTCCAGGTTCCTGCTTCAGGGGCCCATACTCTAGACCCACAGCTACTTATTTCTAGGTGGAAAGGATGGTATAAACTTTGACTCAGGGCACTGGGCTTTAGAGAAAAGGGGCAATGAGCAGCTGGAAGGAAAATATAAAGAAACCTCCCTCTGATGTGCTTAAAAATGAAAGCGGAGACTTAAAGGAATTCTATGGAGATTTCGGAGAGTCCCATACTCAGAAGTCCCGCATCCAAATATAGGATCATTCTCATCATGATGACTGCACTCTTTTCTACCCTTCCTCCCATGTGCACACATGCAGACACACCCTTTCTCACAGTTGACAGACTTTCCTAAATCTCAGGTATTTTCATGTCACCTGCAGACATAGGCATCAATGATAACAGGAAGATGGAGTCCCAGATGAGTGAGTATAGGCAACAACACTGTCTACCATCTCTTGGACATAGCAGCTGGGATAAAGTAAAAGAAATGAAAGAGAAAGCTTACATGAAGCCTCCCACACTCTGTACACACAAGCCTTCTCATGTCAAGGAAGAGGGCTCCACCAAGAAGCTTAAAAACTACCAAGAAGCCAGGCGTGGTGGCACACGCCTGTAATCCCAGCACTCCGGAGGCTGAGGCAGGAGGATCGCTGTGAGTTCGAGACCAGCCTGGGCTACATAGTGAGTTTCAGGTCAGTCCCGACTACATAGTGAGACCCTGTCAAAAAAAAAAAAAAGCTACCAAGAAGTCATGGTCTCACTGTAGGATATAAGGGCAACATAGCAAAAAGTTACCTTTCCTTAATGTTTTCACTAGGCTCCCTGTAATTTTATCTCATTTCTTAGGGTATTTTATCATAATTTTTCTCAATTTTCACTACAAGAATAAAATAACTCTGCAACTCCTCTATAAGTAGCTAATATTTTCCCTAGGAAGCCCTGAGATAATATTACTTCTTGTGTTTTAAATTCTAAGTGCAGTGTTGATTCCTAGTGAACTAAAATTATTTCAGTGAAAACAAGTGTAAGTTTTGATATTTCATGTGATGAAGTGAAGAAAAATGTTTTTCCTGGAGATTCTGGCTTTTTTCCAATAAAATAGGCATAAATGCTTGTTATTTATTGCTTTTGTGATTTCGTTTTCCTAGCCAAGTAGGCTGTGCAGCCATACTAAGTTGCAATAGCAATTTCTCCAAATATTTTTCTGTAGTTTGTAGCCGATTACAGTGGACAAGATAATTTCTTGCAACGAGTAGGACAGAATGGCTTAAAGAATTCAGAGAAAGAATCCACTGTCAACAGCATCTTTCAGATCATCAGAAGCTGCAGTCGAAGTCTGGAGGCAGAGGAGGACGACAGCCTCAGTGAAGGGGACAGCTCTAGGAAAAATTCCTTGAAGGATAAAGCTCGATGGCCGTAAGTTTTGCAAAGTGAAAGGGAAGAACCCACTTTTCTTGCTGTTGTCTAACACTTTTGTCTTTAAGCCATGCTTCCTTATGTTCAAACAGTACCGTCTTTGAATTAGGATTTGTTTTTCTTATTTTGCTCCTTTGTTCTAAAATTACTGCTCACAGTTGAACTCTTGCCATCTGTTATCCCTTTTTTAAAATAAGATGTGATTTATTATTTTGTAAAATTACTTTTAACTGATGCATCAAAACATAAAAATTCACGTACTAGTTGAATACTTGTTCTTTAGAAAACACACACCTAAGGCCACCTTGCCACTTCTAAAACTAACAAATTCAATTTCAGGATTAGAACTAAGATCTTTTATTGATTTTATAGTTTTTATTAATCCCTGGGGTGACGGGCTGGCCTTTGATTTAGTAGGTCTGAGGTGATACCCAGAAACCACTAGTTCTAGCAGCTCCATTCAGATTCTGGGTGATTCTAAGTCAAAAGGTCCAAGGATCTCACAATGAGAAGCACTGCTGTGCACTGTGAGGTATGTTAAAGTCAGCCCTGCTCATACAATGGATCTGATACTTTGCAGTTGTCCTAAAACTGTTTGTCAGCAGGCATAGCTGTCTAGCCAGCCATGCTTACCTAGAGCTGAGTAAAAGGAGAAGACTCAGTGGGCTTGGAGCTTCCTCTCCTTTCTTCAAGCCTAACCTCAAATGGCAGAGCCTTGCCTGGGAATTGGAAAAGTGATCCTTTCAAATCACCCAAACCATTAGGTCTATTGGCTTTGGTATTTTTACCTGTGAAAGGTTTGTAGTCAGTACATGAGTCCTACTCTACAGTTGTCTTGGAGTCCTTATACATGTATATGTACATTTGCAAGAATTGCTGTTTGTTTTGCAAAGCTTGTTCTGGTTTTGTGTGTGTGTGTCTGTGTGTCTGTCTTTCTGTCTGTCTCTATGTGCACACTACATTGGGAAAGAAAACAGTATTTTAAGAAAATAATTTATTTGGAGTTGTGCTGGATCCTTATAATTCATTATAAATACAGTAATGAACATCCTGTTTATGAATCCATAATGCTATCATGTTTTAAGGAAGTAAAGTTAAATTCCAGATTCCTCTAAGGCCTTTGGGCTTTCTTCCGAACATCACTTCCTAGTTCATTCCCTCACAGTGGAATCAAAGATTAACTGTTACTGTCCTTACCATAGTGTCTGAGGACTAATATTCAAATATCTCAGCAATATATTTCAGCAGTTCTTTTGTTATTATTTTAGTTTATCTCAAATCAGAATATTTGTATATTTTCTCACTAACAGATTAGGGGCAATCTATACTTAGTGGACCTTCTACAAGAAGTATGTGTGCACAGGAGGCATCTCATAGCTATTTAAATTTTTAATCTCTATGTATCCTATCTACCTATCTCTATAGGTATCTATGTGCATACCTATCTCCTTCCAAAAAATATATGTAGATGCTTATAAGAATAAACATGAATAAACTGAGGAAAATAAGGAAAAGGAAAATAATGAGAGTAGGAAAAAAACATTAAAAATTTACACTCTACAATCTGTAGGGGGACTAAACTTTGTTCTGAGATTCTTAGTGGCCAAAGGAAAACAAATTTTGCAATGTTTATAAGAAAAATCAAACAGATGTTTGAGAGACATATGCTTTTTCCTCCTACTGAGATCTGGCTGAAAATCCTACTATTAAAGGCATATCATCCATGAATAGATAAAATAATGAATTTCAAACGGCATTTTAATATCAACCTTCATTTGGGGCCTGGTGTGGTTGTGTGTGTTATATAAGGATATCAACTAAAAAATACCTGTAGGAATTCCACCTTTGACTGACTTCCAGAGACCTAGACTCCGAACTTTATTTTTACCTTCTTTTCCTTTTCCCTGAGGTCCTCCAAGTGATAAATTTCTCCAATCACTCTCATTAAATTTTTATTTCCAATTTTCTGTTTATTCCCTTGTCCTCTTTCTCTAATCATTTTATCGTCTATATCCTAAGATTATTCTTTCCCATTGCACATTTTTCAGATCCCATTGTAAGCAATCATAGCAGGGTGAAAAAATACAAAAGTGTAAATATTTATGTGACTTTGATATGAAATCATATTGAAATCCTCACTTTGAGACCTTTGTTTGTCACCCCAAGTAACTGCCACTCTGAAAGGAACCTCTGAACACACATGGGGGAAGGTGTTTAGTAGAATTCACTGAAACCTCAGATAGGCAAGCAGTGTTTCTATAACCATCTGCCTAGATTTAGAAATTCTATTCTGATTCAGAACCCCACATTAAAGTATCCAGTTCAGGGTTGTGTGTGGCAAAGTGACAAGTAGATCCTGAAGACCAGAGAAAAGAAGCTTTATTGATCTGGTGGAAACAAAGCTCCTTAAACAATAAGCTCCAGCCTCTGTTCATGTCGTAACTACCAACCCTGGGGAAATTACAGCAAAAAAAGATGGCTGGGTATGGCCGCATACACCTGCAATCTCAGCACTCTGAGAGACTGAGGTAGGAAGATCATGGGTTCAAGCCCAGCCTGAGCAACTTAACAAGACTTCATCTCATAATAAAAAAATAAAATAAAAAGGAAGTTGTGGATGTAGCTCAGTACAAAGACCCTGTATTTATTTCCCAGTACTACCCCCCAAATTTTTTTTAATTTAAAAGGACAATTTCCTAGTCCTTTGGTTTACTCAGCCTGCAGGGTGCTTTTGTGACTCCTCTCAAAGCTGTCAGCTACTCCTGTCAGAAACCTGCTGAAAATACTCACAGAAACCGCAGAAAAGTGATCGTACAAGGTTCAAGAGCTCAGCAAAGGAATAGAGTTGAAACTATCTCAAAGTGTGAATGGGATCTTAAGGTAAACTTGTCCGACCTCTGCACACAGGAGGAAGCTGTGCTGAGAGAAATGAAGTCATGATTGGCCTCAGTAATAGCAGGGACAGGACATGGGCTCAACCGAAGGGAAGGGCCCTGTGTTCTATAGTAGTTAAAGTATTTCTTTTCACTGGAGAGGGTCTAAGCCTCAGCTTGTCTTCATGTCTTCTTTAGGAAAATCTGAATTTTAAAACATTCCAGTTAGGGCCAGGGATTTAGCTCAGTGGTTCCGCTGCCTGCTTCACAAGCACAAGGTCCTGAGTTCAATCCCTGGTACCAAAAAAACCAAAAAAACTAATAAAACATTCCAGTTATATTTGACATAGCCTATAAAGCTCATTTATGATAACTTTTTTAAATTTATGAGCACAAAGAATAAATAAGCTGCGCCTATGTAGATACATTTAAGTCATGGAGAAATAAGAGTTGCATGACAACCCATTGTTGGTAAGTGGAAATTAAGAATATTAAGGTGTAGATATAAAAGGCATGCGAATCTCTTATAGTAGTGACCACTAAAGGGGCGTCCCTCAGTTTTGCTGTCCTTACGTACTAGAAAAATCTGTATTTTGTACCCTCACCATCCAAACTACCCTAGAGACTTGCTGGAAAGTAATGTAACCCCACAGGATTAGAAAATAAGAGAGTTAAACAGAAGAAAGAAGAGTACTGTATCTGAAAAAAGATCCTAGTTACCAGGATTAACTATCTCGGCACACATGGTCATATAATATAATAAAATGATAGGAAATTAATCATTTTTCTTCCAAGGGAGATGATGTAAATGAATCCCAATCTTATAAACACCCACCTCATAACATCCTTTGTGTACAGCAGACTGCTACGTTTCAGCCAGGTCCTTAACATGGTTCCCCCTTCCCAGCTTTGCTGCAGATGCCAGAGACCTCTATTTCTCTCTGATGCCATCTCATTGACCAAAACCTGAGCCTAGTCCCGCTTCTGTGACTTATAAAGAGAGCCATTTTCCCACTATTTATATAAGATTCAATTTATGGTGTGTTAGATATTTATAAAATGCTTCTGCTGAGTTCCAGCCAATGGAAAGCAGAAATGTTCAGTATGAGAAGCAGTGTATTGCACCTTAGTATCAGCATGTGAAAAGTTAGGGTTGAAAGAAGATGTTTTTTAAAGTGTACTATAAATCATGATCACAATACATTTCAGTGGAGTTGCATGGTCTTACCACTTTAGATTCTGTCAAATAAAAACATTATGATGTGTCCTCATTCACCTAATTCATCAAATGTAGCATCATGTGGGCCAGAGATGTAGCTCAGGGTCCCCATGCCTGCCTCGTAAGCGCAAGGTCCTGAGTTTGATTCCCGGTACCAAAAATAAGTAGCATTATGCAACTTCTAGCTCTTCCTCATTGCCAAAATGAACATGAAAGGTAAATATTTTGAATTGCTTCGGGACAGCGAGGCAGCCATGTCAGAACAACTAAAGATGCTCATGAAAGAAAACTTCCAGAACTGCCTCAGAAAGTGGCAAGATAAGTGTATTCAAAGTGAGAGAGGGAGATTAATGGCAATGTGTCTTTTACTATAATACATTTTTTTAAAATTTAAACATTAGCCTTATTTTTTATCTTATCTTGGTTTATTTCTCACTTCTGTCACAGTTTGAACTAGGACACCAGTTTGTCAGAGAAGCAGTATTTCTGTGGGTGATTTTGTTCTGTAATACTTTCTGAACACAATTCCGATAGTAATATTATAATAATCATTATTATAATTATATAATAATGGCAACATTTTTGTGAATCTTTTTGTAAAATCATGGCTGATTTTACTGACTCCACTTTTTAAAAAAGCATTATCCTAATTATTTTATATACATTAAATTATATAATCTTTGCAACATTTTTATTTACTCAAGAGCTCATAAGCTGGCAGGGCTGGAATTTAAATTTAGGCAAGTTGTCTCCAAAGTCCACATGGTACTCAGATATAATTTAGAAACTGCTTCTAGTTAAAAAAGGTGTTATGTTAATTAAAAGCATGAATTTTCCAGAAGAGAGTTTTTTGAAACATTAGATCTTTATTACAGGAAACAGCTGTAGCAAGTCATGTAGGACAGATG